TGAATGAGAAGCATCTAATTTTAGCAGGAAAGAATCAATAAAGCCAGCAGGTAAATAAGACAATGGAGACAGTGAGTGAGCCGTGTCACGGCTGGTGTTGTCACCTGCTTTCTCAGGCACCCTCCTTGCCAAAAAGTCCCAAGGAGGGTTTGATGACCCACGTGGTTCCGGGGCAGCCCCCATGTGCTGCAGGCCCCGGTGCTCCCCAGGTCCCCTCGCGAGTCCCTGCAGGCTCCATCTCCCCTTCCCTCGGGACTGGGATTCTAGTGTTGTGTTAAATTGGTAACTTCCATAGTTTTATTTTTTCTGCTCTTCATCTCACCAAAATTGCTAATTATACTGTTTATATTATAATACTATGTAGCACAATTTGTGCTCTATTGCCAGAAATGCCAAATTAGATAATCTTTTCTGAGTCATTTTAGTCCTTAGGTGGCTTTTTGAAAAGTAATTTTCAATTTTGGATTTGTCGATAAATTTCATAGATTTAGAAATGAACCTTAAATTTAACAAATAATGTTTAAGCCTTGTACTGGAATCATGTATGACAAAGTAACACTGCTGCATGAAATGCCCTTTTATTTTTATCATATAAATTGATATCACATTATAATTTTTTATTTTTTTTGCAGTTTTTGGCCAGGGCTGGGTTTGAACCGGCCACCTCCGGCATATGGGGCTGGTGCCCTACTCCTTTGAGCCACAGGTGCCCCCCCCCACATTATAATTTTTTAGAACTTTTAAATATACTATCATTTTAGAGCAGTTTTAGCTTCACAGCAAAATTGAGCAGAAAACACAGAGTGTTCCCAGATGGCCCCTGTCCCCACACGAGCGCAGTCAGTCCCCTCATCAAAGTGCCCACGTTTGTCACAACTAACGAACCTGCACTGGCACGTCATCAGTCAGTCTGGTTTACACATTTGTCACAACTAACGGACCTGCACTGGCACGTCATCAGTCAGTCTGGTTTACATGAGGGCCTGCTCTCACGGTTGGGTAGGCTGTAAGTTCGGACAACTTTATAACAGAATATGTTCACTATTACTGCATCATACAGAGTGTTTTCACTACCCTAAAACTCCTCTGCACCTCCCCTCCACCCTCAGCCATCTCTGATCTTCTTACTGTCTCTGTAGCTTTTCCAGAGTTTGTAAGAGACCGTATTTTCCAGAGGGTCACACGGTTGCAACGCTGCATGGTGTAAGCTTATCAGACTAGCTTCTCCACTCGGGAGCGTGTGTCTAAGCTTCCTCCATGTCTGGACACCATTTCTTTCTAGTGTTTATACACAATCTTAGGAGTCCTACCCCCAAAACCTGTTCCCAGAAACCTGACAGATTAGAAAGCTATTTGTTAACAAAGTCACACCAGAGTATCAGTAATGTTGATGGTGGCATTATGCCCCTTTGAGGACAATTGCGTTTTTAAAAAGATTTTTTAAATTTTTAACTACTGTTTACAGAAAAGGTCTTACTCTGCAGCTCTGGCTTCAGTGTGGTGGGGTAGGCACAACTCACAGCAGCCCTGAACGCCTGGGCTCTGGTGCTCCTCCTGCCTTGGCCTCCTGAGTAGCTGGGACTACAGAAGTGGGACACCATGCCCAGATAAGACAACTATGGGGACACTCTTCAAAAGAAGGGACCTTCTTTGGGGATCTGTGTCTCATGAGATGTTTCAGGTCACTTACGCTTCACCATCTGAGGCAGAGCCTTCTCCAGCCTCCTGCTGAGCCAATCTTATGCTTAAAAATTTTTTTCCTTTTAATTTTAAATGAGAAAAGGGAAATGAAACTATTTTTACCTTTTCTTTTCTGATGCTGTCATTTATGTTCATATGACCACCAACCTAGAGAATAAAACACCTAATTTATTCAAAATACAATAACTGCTTATGATTTTGTTAGAGTCTTCTCCCCTTTTGCAATTAATTTTGGCCCAAACCCTCATGTCTGCTAACATCACAAAGTCATCGTGAGAGTCTGTAAATTTAAGTAAAGCTGTTTTAAGTTACCATAGTCCTGAGACCATGGCACTGGTGGGGCTATAGAGACGCTGCTTTGCCAGTACATGGGTGGGACAAAGCTTAACAGGTCTACACAGAACCACCCGGAAGTTGAAGTTTAAGCCATCAGGAGGTCGTGGATCTGACCTCTCAAGGCTATTGTGTGAGTAATAATTAATCGGCTGTAGAAGCTGTTTCCAGGCAGGTTGCTTGGCAGGATGGTGAAGCTGGCGCTGGACAGCCCAGCTCAGCCGCGCACGTCAGTGGATCTTCTGCTTTTGTCTGGGATTCATTTTCACATGAAACCCGTTTCCTAATATAAAAGATGAACGCTACTTTAAAGAGCCTTCTGTGTTTGTATTGTCGGTAACATTTTCAAATGAAAAAGGAACAGTATGTATGAACCCCCACGTTGTGAAGGAACTTCTCCGGGAGCACATCCGCTGGTGTGGGCCTGGGAGAGGGACAGGCAGGTCACATGTGCCCAAACCCCAGGCATGGCGCTCAGGGAGGCTGTACTCACCAGAAATGGTAGACGTGTGACTAGTATAAAAGACTTTTTTTCTTATTTTAAAAATCTCTTTAAATTGGCATAGAGGATGGTTTGAAAATTTGGTTTCTAAAAGAATTGCAATAGGTCTGGTCCTGCGCATGAATTGCTCCCCATTTTGAAGCTTCTTAAGTTGGTTGTTTTAAGTTAAAGGACTCCACAAAAATGAGAAGGTGACAGGGTCCGTTCCCAGTGCCCTCCCCCCGTGCCTCAGCGATGGTCCCGGTAACAGGAGACACACAAGTCAGAAGGGCTGACCCAGGTCCACTTTGCCTCTTCTGTTTGATGAAAAAGTCAATAAGCCTCAGTTTTATCAGCTGGAAAGTAGAGATAATGTCACTTTGATCATGGTGACAGTCAGTAAAGACAGTCTTTGTGTGTAGGCACTATAAATGTTAATAATTATTACCAGTCCATGCAGGGAACCAGGTTAAAATGAGCACGAAACTCAGTCTGGAAACAAAACAGAAATGACACAACCTTATTGGCATAAGGGGAGGAAGGGCCAACACCCCTGAAGGTTTTGTTTTTGGGGGGATGTTTTCTTATTTGGTGGGGACGGGGATGTACAAGTTCCCAAATAATGTTAAGGAAACCTTAACAAACAGAGCAGGGGTGGGGGCGTGAAGGGAAGTTCTCCTGCTTACAATTAGCGACAAAACAACCACAAGAGACTCTGCAAAGCCACGCCTCACATAGAGGTCATCACAGCCTCACACAGAGGTCATCACAGCCTCACACCGAGGTCATCACAGCCTCACACAGAGGTCATCACAGCCTCACACCGAGGTCATCACAGCCTCACACAGAAAAGACTTCTGCAAGGACGTGTCCCCAGCAGATGCCCGTCCAACCCTGGACTGCAGCATCTTGTCACCGATCTTTGTAGCCAGGGATAATCAATCCAAACAGTTACGCAATCCTCCTCCTTTTTCCTTTCTAAACTATTGCCCTCCTTGACCTTGAACAAGCACACACACGCTTCCCACTGCAGGGTCTACTCCCAAATAAATACGTTCCCTTTGGAGAGCCTCTCTCCCTTACTTAGGTCGACACAGATGGTGTCAGAAATGAGACACAACAGGAGCAGTGACAGGGACATCAGCGAACTTTGAGCACATGTGCCCTGCTCACTGGAGCCCTTGGAGTGCCCAGTCCACGCTCACCCTGTCTGTCCCAGGGCTCTCCACTCAGGCTGACCATCCCTCCTTTTGTGGAGGCCTTTTGGTGTTAGTTAGGACCTGGTTCGGCTAAGGCTGCCTTAACCGAGGACCATACACCCCTCTGGCCTGATAAAAAAGATTTGCCTTTTCCAGAGGTCCTCTGGATTGGAGCTCTGGGCCCCTGACGGATCTGCCTCCCATCTGTGGGACGCATCTTCTCTGGTTTGCACGCCCACTTTTCATGCTTCGCTGCATCTGCACACCTAGGTAAAATTTCTGTGAACACTCTTCTCTTGGGTTGTTCTGATTTGGTTTGGTTCTTTTGCCTTGCTTGTTTCTGATGATCTTTCAAGAGCAAAATTAAACGTTCAGGATGGTGGTTGCAGGATGGCTAATAAAAACCACTAGGGTGGTTGCCACCTTATAAAATGCTGGTCTAAACTTTTGATAATCCCTGAGAGGATTTATATAGTTTTCTATGCTCTTGAGAGATTAATAAGAAACAGAATGGGATTCTAAAACACTGTGGCCTGCCAGGTTTTCTGGGACCCCAGTCACCTACATGTTATTCTTGTATACGTTACAAAAATGTCTTGTGCACATTTATAAACTGAGGAGCAAATTATATCATGTAAAATTCAGAGCTCACACAGTCATTGTTTGAAAAACCTACAACTAAAAGTTAATACCTAGAGCCTTTGAGGCTATCTGCCCGTCTCTGTTTTTTTTTCTATCTCTTTTATTTCTGGTGCCTTTTCTACTGATGTTGATAAAATTCACTGCTTATGGCATTCCCCAAGCTTTAAAAAAATAAGAATTAAAGGGCTTTCAAATTAATGGCTTTACAAATTACAACAACTCCATAGCAACCACCAACCTAGACACCTTTTAGAAGTATAAATTTAGATTTGCCTAACAATTGCATATGGTGATAGAACGCTTAACTGAAAAATCAATAATCTAAAAGGAAAACTAGATAAATGTTGTAGAAGTTTCGGGTATATGATTAAATGGGTCAAAATCCTGAGGGCAGAGGTTCAACGTGACAATGCAGGGTTCTGTCAGGCAGGGGCCGTAACCAAAAAGCTGAATACAAAGAAGAAATTGCTGAAATTCTTCCCCACCTACATTTGCCTATAAAGCAGTAAAGACAGCAAATAAAAACCAGATTTGTTACTAATTCAAGGCTACTTTGAAACTTTGTTTTTCTTACGCAATGCAGCCAGTCCTAGCTAAAGTAAACATTAAAAATTTAACCTTAAACTCATTTGAAACTAAATGAAGAATAAAAAAGAGGTGAGAGAGTTTTTTTTTTTAAATCAGACTACCATGGAAACTGCTTTACCCAGCCTTCTGGTCCACACCCTTCATTAGATGACCCACCAGGACAGACAAAGGGAGCGGAATCCACCAGACCCAGTTTGTCAGAAACGCTGTTAGAATCCAACTGACTTTTGTAAACTGGTGAGTCTGTGTTACTATGTCATGACTTAAATTCTAACCTAAAGCTGTAACGTCTTTACTTCTGTCTGTTTAGACATGTCCGTGCTTTGTATCTACATTGTAAAATCGGTGTAGTCTTTGGGGAAAAATGAGTGTTCATATAAAATAGATAGTAATTCACCCACATGCCTTTTAGTTCCCCTGACTTATGTACATTTTGGTAAGAAATAAAAATGTCCTCAGAATTGTTGCCATACATTGTGCTTGGGTTTATTGGTATATCTATCTCTGCTAGATGTTTTAAGATATCAGGGTTTGACGTGAAGTTCATACAACTATAAACCCAGCTTAATGAAGAACGATCTTTGTATAATTTTTTTTTTTTTTTGAGACAGAGTCTTACTTTGTCACCCTTGGTAGAAGGCTGTGGCATCATAGCTCACAAAATTTTGCACAAATTTTTGATAAGTAAGATAATATTGTGTGAAACAGATGAAAGCAAACTAAACTTTTTGCCAACAACTCAAGGCTCTTGCATCACGACAATGCACCATCTCACGTGGCACTGGCTGTGAGGGAGTTTTTAGCCAATAAATAAATAGCTGTTTTGAAACATTCTCCCTACTCATCTGATGACTCTTATTTAACACATTTTGGGCTCTTTTCTTAATTATTTTGTTGTCCAGATTTAAAGATATTTTCTCTCATGAAGCTAAAATCATCTACAACAATTTGGGGAAGTATATTTTTTGCAAAAGGCCAAAACATTTTCTCCTTACTTAATTGGTCCAAAATTCAGAAACTACTCATGAGCATTCTTGTTTTAATCTGTGTAAGTTCCGGGAAAGTCTGCTCTCTGATTCTAAGCAGTATACAGCTGGAAACACTGGCTATAGTACAGGGCCAAGACTGAAACGTTACATTCAAGAAGGTGTACAGAATGCCGGGTCCCAGGAGCTTCCACCTGAACGTGCACAGAATGCCGGGTCCCAGGAGCTTCCACCTGATGGCAAGTGAAGTCCAGGGGCCTGGAGATTATCAGATCTAGATTCTGCCTTTGTTTCGCTTCCTAGCCGCAGGAGGTTTTAAATCAGAGATTCGTGTGATCAATGCAGAGGGAAAAGTTGTATTCCTAAAGGAAACTATAAAGCACAAGTTGTTGACGTGTATACCCTGAGCCCTGCTGTCCCCTTCTCGTTGTCTGTCTGAAGACTGGACCAGACCCTATAAATTCTTCTCATTTACTCCAATATTCACCTATAACTCTCCAACAAAAAGAAAAGGAAAAACAACCCTGATCTGTCCCTGCAGCCCTACAAACTGAAACCAAATAAATTCTAAGGAACAAGCCTCGTGCCTGATGCGTAGGCCACACAAAAGCTCCCCAAAGTGACTGCTGTCCTAAACAGAGGCCTCCAAACTATGGCTCAGGAGAAGCTCCTGTTTTCACACTATAGAAGCTTCACCCAAGGCAGCAGAACAAGGCTCCATATCAGAATGAGGGTTGTACCCCCATTAATGGTACTTTTTTCACTTGGCAGGATAACCGTATAATAAAGGGTAATCTAAATTTCACAATCTATAGTATCTGTTGGTAACTTAACAAAACATAATCTAAAAGATCCTTTGGTACTATTGGCTAAATAACAAACTGTGTTATTTCTAATGCTCCTGCCTTACCTGGGTCAATTCCTCTGGGAAAGTTGAGACCCATATAAACAAAATAAGGAAACAGGTCCTGGTCGGGCACGGTGGCTCACACCTGTAATCCCAGCACTCTGGGAGGCTGAGGCGAGTGGATTGCCTGAGCTCATGAGTTTGAGACCAGCCTGAGCCAGAGAAAGACCTTGTCTCTAAAAATAGCCGGTTGTTGTGGTGGGCATCTATAGTCCCAGCTATTTGGGAGGCTGAGACAAGAAAATCACTTGAGGCCTAGAGTTTGAGGTTGCTGTGAGCTATGATGCCACAGCACTCTACCAAGGGCAACAAAGTGAGACTCTGTCAAAAAAGGAAAGAAAGAAAGAAAAGAAAGATGAGAAGGAAAGAAGGGGAGAGGGAGGGACTAGGTCCTATAGTTACTATAGGTCTCGCTAATTCCTTCCAGTCATTTAATTTGTTCAAGTGGCTGTCTTTAAGACTAGGTTCATGGCTCAGAACCACATGCAAGCCAGAATTGTCACATTACTAATAATTTTGTTTTGTGTTTTACCTTTTTAAACTGTTACTTGTTAAACTGTTTCAGAAGTGTAACTCCTAACAGAACAATGCTGGCCCAGCGATTTGAGATGATAGCAAAAGACAACAGAACAGACAGAACTGAACTGAGCGGCCGACTCCAGTGAGACTCTCTCCAAACCTCCTGGGCTTCTCAAGCATGGGAAGAGGGTGTTGGCACTGACTCCTAGTCACCACTCGTTGCCCCCAAAGTGGGACAAGACCAAAAACTGGGACAGAGGGACATCAAAACCTAACTCTAAGATGACATATCAGTGATGCTTTTGGAGAAACAGCTTGACCAAAAGGAGGAAATGTGAAAGTTGTCAGAACCAACACAAGTCACTTAATGGTAAGAAAACCCTGAAAAACGGAGCCGGGAAGGCTGTGAACGGAGGTGCTCATGCTTGTGTCTGATAACCAAAAATATCACGAGAGACTCTACAAAACCACAGCCTTGCACAAAAGCCATCACAACCTTGCACAAAAAATCCTTCTGCAAGGACTTCTGCCCAGCAACTGCCTATCCAGCCCCAGACAGGCACCACCCTTGTAACTGACCTTTATAGCCAAGGATAATTATTTCAAAACAATTATGTAATCCTCCTCTTTTTCCTTTAAAAGCCTTTGTCTTCCTTTTGCCTCCCCAAATATGCAGATAGTTCACTCTGGGATGCATATTCCCAGTGCAATGTTCTCCTCCCAAGTCAAGGTCTTTTCCTGTAGAGAGAGAGCCTCCCCCTGTCTGTGCAAGCTGCTTGTGGGCAAGTGGGAGTTTGAGAAGCACTGGTTGGCTCAACAAGGGTCAGGCTGAGGCCCCTGGACAGATTTACTGGCATGTGTGCAGAAAGTGCATCTGGGGTTGGGAGGCAGAGCCACCTCCCTCCCTCTGCCCTCCATCACCAGAGCAGGGCTCTTCAGCTGACCCTTTCCTGGCAGTATCACATCTAGCTCTGTGATCTGAGTGCTACATATAGACTTTCTCTCCAACAAAAACTTGAGCTGAAATATGCAATTTTTCTAGTGTTTCCAAAATAACCTGTACTTTCCATCCTGAAAGTTTCTTGAATGGAGACACACATTTCAAACGTGTCCATGCAGGGACATGTGCATGCACCATGCCGCTTTGGGGACACTTGTCCTCTTCTGTAATGCTCTCTCTCACTCAGGAATTCCTCACACAGCTATTTCTATCAGTGGCTCCACCCAACCTGGGAAAGTACAGCCTGCCCTTCACACCGAGTTCTTCCAGCCCAGTGAACGTCTTTTTCTCTTCACTTCACTTTTTCACCACTGTAGTACCCTGTTTGCCAAACGTGTTTCTGCAAACTCATCTCTGACCTAGGAAGGTGGCTCCGCAGATGCCCTGTGTGGGGACGGGCCTGGAGTTGCTGCAGAGATTGGCTGTGGCCTGTCCACACTCATTCACAAGGCTTGCAACAAAAAGCTCAGCCCATCTCTGTGCCGTCTTATCCTTAGATAAGATATCCAATAAAAATGAAGACTCAGAGTCCAAGGCACCTGACTACATTCATGAAAATGACAGAACATCTGAAATTAGGACCGTCTCAGACAATGTGGGACAGGTGGTTACAAAGCCCGTAAGAAGACACAGCTGGCACCCTGGCCTGAAGCTCCTCGCTCTAGTTGCCAAAAAGGTGCAATTTGTCCACGTTTTCCCTCTTGTCTTTTCTTCTGTAGCAGGTGAGAATGGACCAGATTTCCTACCATTGGAATAGTAAGAAGAGCAATGATAATAACTACTTGCATTTAATTTATAATCATCTGCGGTCACATGCTCTACAATGAGCTATACCCCTAAGCCTCTGCAAAATTACAGAAACCATAATATTGTAATCACTCGATTGTTAATATTAAGAAAAAATTCTTGAGTAAATAAATATTAAAGACACTGTTGTTGTATGTGGTATTGGATGGAAAGGGATCTGACATCCAAACACACGATGCTGAATTTCCAATGTTTAACAACTGCTCTAGCACTCAGCTTAAAACACCCCAGGCTGTAAGCGCTGCCAGCGGCTAGGCTCGAGGCCTCAGAGGAGCTGCCTTTTGAGAACATGATTTTAACAGCAAGAAGAAAGTGAAAGTGTGAGTCAGCTGGGACTCAGGCAACGCCGGGCACCTGTTGCACAGCACCCTTGCAGAAACAGGTTTGACTTTTTAAATCTTCTTTATTTTTTAACCAACTACAGCATGACTCACATGGGTGGCACCTCTCTAACATCTCAAACGGTCATTTTAAAATACCTGGACGCTAATCTGGACACGTCTGGGAGCACTCACGATCCAGAGGGGCTCAGGAGGGTAGAAGAAAACCCAGCCAGCAGGAGTGCCCGTGGGGCCCACCCAGTCACTGGGGTACAGGAGTGTTCAGAGAGCACCTGGGAGGTCCACTGGAGAGGGCAGCAGGCCTTCCACTGTTCTGTGCCATCAGAACCACCTGCCCACGGCTCCCCCAATCTGGGGGCTTCATCCCCTGCCAGCCTCTTTGCTTCCTTTCCACAATTAATGGAACCAAGAAGTCGGCAGGATGCCCACCAGCACCAGGACCTGCCCTGGGCTGAGGGCTGGAAGTCACGTTTGTCCCCATGCTCACTGCGGCAGCTCCGGCCCCTCCGGCACGAGGTGACCTCGTGACTTTCAGCGTCCATTCTTTCCTTGCAGGTGCTGTGCACTGGGAATGCTGCCCCCAAATGCACACTGCCTGGAACCTTCAAGCATGACCTTACTGGAAAGAGGGTCTCTGCAGAGGTGATGGAGTTAGGGTGAGGGCACAGTACACTGGGGGTGGGCACAGATCCAACACCCACTTTGCTTAAAGGAAAAGAGAAACTCAGACACAGACAGGGACAGCAAGAGAGCCCCATGACGATAGGCGGAGACTGGAGTGACGCAGTCACCACCAATGACACCAAGAGCTGCCTGGAGCCACCAGGAGCTGGGAGAGAAGAAAGGACCCTCCCCCAGGCCGTCAGAGGGCGCGCACCCTGGTGACGCCCTGACTTTGGACTTCTGGCCTCCAAAGCTGTGAGAGGACAAATTTGTGTTGCTTTACATCACCTAGTTTGTATCATCTGTTCCAACAGCCCCAGGAATCCTTGTAACCTTTATCCTGGAGGCTGCTGGGTCTTCATATAAACAGCCTGCAGGACGCACCCATGTGTGCTGCCCCCAGGGAGGAGGAGCAGCTGTGCCCAGTAGCCACCAAGACTCTAGCTCATGAGAGAATGGTCATAAAACAGGCCAGTGAGGGGGAGGGGGTTAGTTAATTCAGAGACATTTTAAGCACAACAGAAAAGATTGTTTGCTTCCTTTATACAGATCTGGTATGATTTCTTCTTTTTGCTTGAGGGAGGAGATAAATTTTGTCAGATGTTCTTGACGGCCAAGGGTGAACGGACTCAGTAAATTAAAAAAATATTTAAGTCCCAGGTGGCAGCATCCATCCCTAATGAGGCCAGGCACCCAGGGCTACAAAAGTAGCCTCTCAGTCAGGGAGTGTCGGGGAAGACACCGGACCCACAGCCAGGCCCTGTGTTCCCAGGAAGGAGATGTCCGGCTCCCAGTGGAAATGCCCTGAGTCATTCTCAAGCTGGGGAAACCGATCTCCGCACTGGGGAAGAGGATCCACTTGTTCTAACCAGTATTTTTGACATTTTAGAAGAAGCATTTCTTGTCTGTGTGGCAGGGTCCACAAATTCCCCCCGAACGAGAGCTGGAGAGACTGAGCATGCTCTGGACGCCTCCATGACAAGTCAGCTCTGCGGCCACGCAGGTGGTTTCCCACTCCAGGTGTAAACAAACATTTTAAAGCACAAGTTCCAAACCGACCCTGGGCCTTCATTTGCATCCTGGAAATTTTCAGGAAGGTCTGCCGTGGGCTGGGGGTGGACCCCAAGGCTGGGTGGGGGGAGGGGAGATGGGGATGGGGGTGATGTAGAATTCTGGTTTCCTATCCTCACTGTGAAATCTCCAGCTTATATTTTCAACATTTGCCTCCTTTTCTTAATTACTTGGCCTGATCTTTGCATTGGAGGTGGTTCTTTAAGACCTTTCTCCCTGGACCACCCAGAAAGTTGCCGAAGGACTGGAGGTCTTTCAGAGTCCGTGAACTCCCAGACGAGGCTGGGAGACTGGCTGTGGCTGGGCCTCAGCTTCAGACTTCGAGATCCCAGGCCAATAACGAGAACAGAACTTCAGTGTGGACATTCAAATTTTACTCTTTTCAACATGGAATTAGGAATTTCCTTCTCATCTTGCTTCAGTGAGCCTTTCTGTAAATGGGGACAATTTAGCATCTGCCTCTCGGGGCTTTGCACAGATGATGAGAGATCCCTGGAGTCTGGAAACACTGCCGTACATGGGGCCTCGCTGGGCTCAGTCAGAGGAAGCACTTCTGGGGACGCCTTCACACCCCCTCCAGCACCTCCCATATCTTCCCACCCTGACCCCTGCCCCCCACCAGGTAAGCTCAGTTCCTGCCCAGCTCCCTGGCAGTGTCCACCTTGCCACCTCCTGCCTCAGCAGAATCCTGGATTCCCCTGCAGACGCCACTCCCCCTCACGCTGTCCAGGCACGGTTGGAAACAACATAGGGACGAACCTCACCCCAGGCTGGCCTCTGTGGGCTCCGTGTTGGCGAGTCTCAGCCTACTCCGGAGTCTCCTACTCTGCCTTCGCTCAGGACGGCAGGGTGCCCAGGGGCAGGAGCACAGAGAACTGTGTGACCAGTGCAGTGAAAACCACATCTACTGGGGGCTGCTTCTCCACCTCCACAAAGGACCAGTATTGTTGCCCTTTCCCTCCTTGCCTTGAGCAAAATCGCCCTGCTGAGTCCAGAAGGCGGCCCTTGGGGACCCCGAGAAGCACTGGGATGTCCGTGCTGACATGCCTTGCCCCCAAACCATCGCTGCATCGGAAAAAAGTAAGCATCTCTCTGTAATTACTAGAATTCCATTTCTCCAACATTTATACCCCAAAACTTGTCCTACTGACAGAGATCACAGTGGCCCCCTAGGACTGGGCCCAAGAGAACAGAAAGCCACGCAGAGCCATTCCCCAAGCTGCTTTTGTCCTCTCTCGTGTTTGCAGTGGTCAGCTCAGCTGCCCAGACACCACCCCACAGAGTGGGCAGCCCAGACACGGAAATGCAGTGTCTGTAGTTCTGGGGACTAGAAGTTGGGGACCAAGGGGGACCAGTGTGGCTCTGACAGTGGAGGGAAAACCTGCTAAGGCCTCCCCCGGACTCCTGGTGGCCCCATGCCATGCCGAGGAGCGTGTGTGTCCAGAGCTCCCCTCTGAGGAGGATGCAGGCACACCAGTCAGTTGGCTTCCCCTGTGTAGAGGCCACACCTCCAACTCGTGACATTCTGAGATGCTGGGGGCTGCCCTTCAACAAAGGAATCTCAGGATGAGAACATAAGAGTGGTGGCGATGCCACAGCATGAATTCCTGGACAGTCACTACCCTGCTACAGGAAAGGGAGGCTCATGGGGGAGAGGGGTGAACAGCAGTGTGGTCAAGAAGGGGACATTCTGCACACGCTCCAGTTTCTGCTTCTGGTTCCCAGGTCTGACACTCCCCACCCTTCCTTCCTGTCCTAGACAGAGCCTGGGCTCCTCCCCATCAGCCTCTCAAATTGTACTCCTGCCCCATCTGTCCTCATGTGCTTCAGTCTCCAGCAGAGGTTCAGACCATGGGCACAGGCTTCCTCCTCCAAGCCGCTCACCAGACTGTCCCCGGCCCTCCCCACCCCTTGTCCCCTGATTTAGCCCATGCCCTGCCATCCTCCATTCTCCCCATCGTCCTCGACTCTCTTGCAGCAATGTCCTTCTGCCACCTGCAGGGGGTGCTTGATGGCGATGACACTGGTTTTGGAGAACACTGTTTTTTGGAGAGACACTGTTCCAAGGAGAACACTGGTTCCAAGGAGTTCGCTGCAGGGCTAGGTTTTGGAAGGTGGTGCAGGTGGAGTGAATCTGGGAAATCACCAGGATGTACCTCTAGGCAGTGGCAGGCGGCCTCAAAGACACCCAGGGAGCCTCCACTCAGGTGCTCTCACACTCTGTAACTCCCTCCACAGGAGCGTGCACAGAACCGGGGAATCACATCTAAGGAGAAGCTGTAGCGTGTGGGATGCAATGTTAGGAAAACGACCGTGGCTCCCTCGTGCTGTGCTCACTCACTGGCTTTGGGGGAGCCAGCTGCCGGGCGTGAACTGCCCTGAGCAGAAGCCCTCGGGGCAAGAACTGGGCAAGGCCTCCAGCCCACAATCCGTGAGGAATTAGATTGTGCTAGGCTCTCAGAAGAATCAGAGCCAATAGGAGACACACACGCACACACATTTATCATGGGAATTGGCTCATGTGATTAAGGAGGTCAAGAAGTCCCATGATGCCACCTGCAAGCCCCATGATCTGCCATCGGGAAGCTGGAGAAACAGGAAAACCAGTGGTGCAATTTGGTCTGAGTCCCAAGGCCTGACACCCAGGGACCAGGGCAGGGGATTGGAGGTGCAAGTCCCCACTGGCATTAGAAGGCCTGGGAGCCTGGAGGGCAGGAGAGGACAGATGTCCCAGCTCTGACAGGGAGGGTAAATTCACCCCCTTTTCTAGTTTTTAGTTCTGTTTTAGCCTTGAAGGGAATGGATGACGTCCACCCATGTTGAGGGTGACCCTCTTTACTGGGTCTACTGATTCAAATGCTGATCTCCTGCCATTCTCCTCCGCCTGAATCACCGAAGGAGTTAAGATCTCCGATATCAACACTGCTGTGATGAGAGTAACGTGTGTGCCGCTTGAAGTATTGCAGTGTTTAAGAAAATATCAATCATATTCCATTCTCTTGAATTTTAAACAGATTGTTATTTAAAAATCTTTGTAATTTCTAAGTGTTATTAAAATGTTCAAACACCTTAATGTATTATACATTTAATTTGTTATGTTTATAATAGTTTACATGCTGGGTATGATGCTTTATATAATTTAAATAACTAAACTGGTACATATCATTAAAGACAATTAGTCAGTTCAACTTGAGTAAACAAAGCATTTGGAATTTCTAAACTGATATAGAGTATAGTGAAATTTAAAAACCTAACAAAATCCAGTTTAAAATGATGTTCCTTGGGGTAGCCCAGTATTATTTTAAAATCAGGTAACTGTGAGTGGTGCTTTCTCTGCACAGACCGCAGTGGGACCTAAGCACTCACCCAGGTTGGTCCTTCTCTGCACAGACCCCAGTGGGACCTAAGCACTCACCCAGGTTGGTCCTTCTCTGCACAGA